TGCTCTAACTTGTTATCCTTGGGGTCCACCAAAACATTTGCCAGAACTGTATGCGGTACTCCAGTTGAATTGTCGATTTTGCCTTGCATAAATTCTTCAAATATTTTTGTGGCATTTTCGTCATTTCCGAATCCAGCCAACTTATTTTTCGATGCCAATAAATACGACTCCACAATTTTCCTGGTTGTCATTTGCCCTCCAACAGGTTGGTACAGTTCTTCTATGTGAGGATTTCCTTTTTCATCAAATCCTATAAGGACCGCAGCTTCTTCTCCTTGTCCCATTTGGCCCAATTCATCGAAGACGTGTGAAAATCCTGTTCTTCCTCTAGATTTTGGAGAGGAACCCTAGTCCTGTTGCTATTTGAACTATTGCCCTGTTTGGAAGATCCTGGTTTGACCCGATCCTGAGTTGGAACAGCCCAATGTCGACCAGTGTTTGGATCAATAACAGTCAAAATTTGGTTGTCGCCTTCATGATCAGTTCGACTCTTAGTCAGCACATCGAAGGGTCGTCCCAATAGAACTTTGTAGGCAGGTCCGCGGATCACATGAACTTGAAGGAATAGAGTCAACTCTCCCCATCTAAACTTTACATTCTTCGCCATTCCCACAGACTTCTCCAGCTGTCCATTTGCACTCTGCATAAATATGTTAATAGAAGGGTCCCACATAAGTCCACAAGCCTGCGCTGTTTCCAGCGACATAGATACAATCTGTGATCCAGAGTCCAAAACACACTCCACAGGTCCAACTGAATTAATATGAGGGAAGGTAACCCTCAGAGGTACTGAATCTTGAGCCACATAAATTTGTTTGGGTCTTTCATCTTCATCAAGATTTTCCAGATACTGCAGATAAGGGTCTTGTGCCACCATAGATCCAGCAGGAATACCATCAAGATCAGTATTCACCACAAATACCCCAGCCACACTTGGCAATTGACTGACTTCCACAGCATCCACATCTAACTTGAAGGGTTCAGGTTCAGACACCAGTTGAGCAGCATTTGATGCCAATGAAACTGTTGGCACTTCTTGAATAGTGTCCACTGGCTGCCTGACTCTGGTCAACCTAAGTCTTTCCTGTTCCCTAAGATCCCTGCTAAGCCCAAATAAATCCCCTAGTCTGATAGTGACTTCTGTATCGTTGATGCGCTCCAGTATTTCATCTGTCAGACCTTCCCTCTGAATGGGTGCCCTTAATTTAAATGCTCTCCCATCTTCCTCTTTGTCTTGCCTTGGAGTTGCCTTATTGGGTGGTGGCTGAGTTCGAGCCCCACTCTTCCCAATTTTGACAAACTTGTATGGCAATTCCTTCAGCACTTCTTCTACCACTTCCTTCTCTTTAGAAACTTCTTTCCTCTCTCTCTCCTTGTTTTTGGCATTTTCTGTTGAATTTTTATCGGATGGTTCTCTCTCAGGCGGCTTATTCCTAGACTTGGCCTCCTTCATTGAGATATTTAAAAATCCGACCCAGACGAATTAGCTCCATTGCGACCCCGAGTTTGAACATATTGCTCAGGTAATTCATCTTGATAGTTGATAAAATTCAATACTGCCCTCCCAATTGCCTCAACATCATTATTCCCATTCTGAACAGGCCTAGCAGAGTGAATTGAAGAAACCTGAGAATTAGCAGCAAGATAAGAAGGGTGAACATTGGATGGATGATAACCACTATTTGTTGCTGGTTTCATCTTGTCAGAGAGTTGACTGAGTTTGACATGGATAGTCCTGACTTCATCCCTGAGAAGATCAAACTCATCATCAGTCACTGCTGGTCCCTCCATATACATATGTTGTCCCATGGTGTTCTTCTTCTGCCAGTACTCTTCCACTCTATTTGATGCAGGCATTGGTCCTCTTGGTATAGCACTTCCATCTGCCATCTTCTGTCTTCCATCTTCCACTACAATCCATCCTTTGGCAAGGTGACTATGCTTGACTGGGCAGTCCCTGGCAAAATGATCTGGCTGTTCACAATAGTAACATCCACCTCCTCCATTGTTGTTGTTGTTTCTTGGATTTCCCCAACCATTTCCACCATAATTCCCACGGTTAGGTTGACGTTCCTGTTGCCCATAGGAGTTCTGAGCTGATTGCCTATGTTCATAATCATCCCTAGGTGGTGGTGCATTTCTTTGGTTCTGGAAAGTCTTGACCAACTCATCAATAGAAGCCTGTGTCTGCTTCTGTCCTACAACCACAGCATCTCTAAGACCAGACACTTGTCCTTCAAGGTCATCCAACCTCACATCTCTTTCTTCAAGCTTGACCCTTGGAAATCTTTCAGACCTTTTGATCTCTGGAGCCTCTGTATTGAAGGAAGTATCACTTCCACCAGAGCGTGAGAATTTTTCTGCCATTTCAATTAGGTCCTTTAATTTGATTGGGTCCTCCCTCCTATCATTTGGCTGAGCAGCACCAGCAGCAGGTGGTGCAGCAGGTTGTGCAGCAGTATCTTCCTTCAAGAGGTTCCTAGTGTTCATAGCCAATCTAAGTGACTGTGCAAAACCTCTCTCCAATGTTGCCAGATACTTGGTGCAAGCTTCTTTGTTCAAGATGATTGCTGGTGGCTTAGACAATTTGATCACCATAGCCTTGAACTTCATGCCAAACCTAGCCAGTCTTCCTTCTTCAGTATACCTAATACCCCTATACTCTGCACACAACTCCTCTAACTCCTCCAGAGAACCTATATCTTCTTCATCTGCCTCTGGATATACTTTCATAACTGCCTTTCTGAAGTCTTCATAGGTTTTGTTGACATCATTATACTCTGGCAGTTCTCTCCACACTGTTCTCTTCTTGGCTCCTAAGTAGCCTGTCAATAACTTCTTCTTCTCAGCATTATCTGTGATGCTGGCCAAATCAAAGATTTGTTCCACATGATCTATAAAGTCCAACAGATCTTCTTTGTTGTCTGATGTGAACTTAGGAGCACTGGTCTCCCAAGCTCTTGGAATTTTGAAAGGTGAAACTTGTGGATTGGGTGGTGGATTGGCCATATTATTCTGGTTCTGAGATTTCTTTGGAGTAGAAGTTTGAAAGAACTCTGGTGTAACTGGACGTAAACGGAAAGACCAGTCGAAAAGATATGAATCGTCCGAATGATAGTCAAGCTCTTGTTGTTCAAGCTCTTCTTCAGACAATAAAGGTTGATCGGATACGGAAAGGGATGGTGATCTTGAGTATTGAGGTTCAAAATCCTCTAAGATCGGTAATAGACTCGACAGTTTGATAGATCAAGTCACGTTCGGGTTGCCTTCCTAATTTGGCAGGTAGGCGTGGGAATAGACACAAAAGTTGTTTAATCTGAATGAACCCCCTCGCGGTGGGCTCCAGATGAAACGCTTGGAATGGTGAACACACACAGACACTAAAAGAGAAACACAAAACCACACAAAACCCAACTCCAACACAAACACAAACAAACAAACACACACAACACAACACACGACCTATTTCGGGACCTAAACCACCTATCCGAGCTTCGGATCAGTCGGATCAATCGGATCACGTCGGAGTTTGATTTGGGGTAGTTTGGTTTTTCACAAGCGCGCAAGTTCGGGGGTTCCTACTAAAGTATATAGCAGTTGCAATTCAGACAACAATTTCGAGTCGATTATGTAATTGGGCGCAATGCAGGCGATTAGATAATCTTGAACTTTGAGGCACGGGATCGAACACGGTCACAAGACTTGAAGCGGAACGGAGGGGACGACGGCGGAACAATACAACGGCGGAGACGGACTTAACGGACCAGACGGCGATAACGGAGACGATCGTAGACAGCGGCGATAACGGAGACAACGTAACGGAACCAAAACACAACCCCGCGAGGGCCCGGGGCAAGCCAAACTTCACTGCTGTACTACTACAATGCATGCCCAATTTATATCTCTTAGGTGCCCAGCATTTGTAAGCTCCAGACCATCGGGGGTGGCTCCGACAATCGGGCACCTCCTGAATTTATCCCCTTGATCCTCCTTGGTACGCTCCCCGAGACGCGACCCCGTGATCGGCCCCCGCGTTCGGCCTGCGCAGCCTCTTCTCCATTTTACCCCAGAATGGAGCCCCTTGACGCGTCTCCTTGACGCGCCAACGCTCCATTCCTACCTCCTTGACACACTGCTCTCCATTTCAGGGGCTTAATGCTCCCCTTGAAGCACCCAATTCGTCCCAAGGGGACCTCCTTGAAGCGCTGAGTTGAGGCGGAAGCACCGCCGGCCCGGCCCCTTGATCGGCCTCCGTGATCGGCCTACGCCGCAGCGCCGTCGCTCGGTCACATGTCCACCGACGCGCGCTCTTGTCGCGCTCGTTCCCGCCATCTGACGCGCGTCATACGCGTCCTTATCACTCCACACGGGTGCTCCACACCCACCCTTCCATCCCCGCTGTCTTGCGCATTGACAGCACCGCCCATGCGCTGGCAGTTCCAGCGCCTCCATCAGTCAGCGGCGAACGCGTTCGCCCCGGCCTAGGGTTCCCCGCGCTCCACCGGTCGTTCTCGCGCCGGTTCGCACCGCATCTCCGGGTCACGCGCCGCTAACGCGGTGTCGTGCTTCCAAAAAGATGCCCCTCGTGGGCATCTGGGCTGATTCCAATGGCGCGCGAATCACGCGCTCTTCACCATTCACTCTTGTCAGCACTTGCTTCTTATGGATTGCAGCATGGATATACTTTCCATGGAGCCCCGAACACACCGACCACGTGATAGGAGTTTTGTTTGTTTGTGGAGTTCATTCCACATCCAGCTTAGGTCCCATCTCGCGCGTTTCACCAGACGAATCCACGGCCCGTGGTCCGGGTAAGTATCCCGCAAGCCAGTCACGTTCGATTACGAGCCATCATCCACAGGTCGGTAACCCCGGAGACGTGGGCATCGCCGAGCTGAGCGATTTTGTCGTCACAACCACGGGCGGCTCGGCCGGTGCGATTGGGATTCAGTGGAACTTGGATGCATCGTCGCCCGGTTCTGCAGGGCTGTGGGACGTGCATGTCCGTCTCGGAGGCGCCAGGGCATGTTCTCAGTTTCCCTTGATGATCTCCATTGATAGCCTTCCCAGGGAACCAACATCAACGCCGCAAACTGCCCCACCTCCTCGGTCAGTGTCGCTGCTTGCGCCTCCGCATTCTTGGGTATCCACATCACATCCTCCGGCTCCGGATACTTCGAGGTACGTGCTTCCATGGATGCGCTAATGCATCTCCTGACCATGTTACTCCAGAATGTGTGGGTTTGGAACGCTGGTAAGCACTATCACCCCTATCGGACTGTTATCTTATCTCATATCAGATCATGATCTTGACGATCCAAATCAATCACGGATCAATTCCTTCAGCGGACGCGGCATCCTTGTTGAGTCGGCGCGCGGTCCGGTGTGGCTTGTCGGAACTGCATCAGAGCATCATGTAGGCTACTGCTATTGCTTACCCTTACTTGCTAACGTGCAGTCTAGGTCATTTATCAATATGCCTTTCACAATGCCCAAAATATTTACGCTGGTCTCATCCAGACGGAGACACCGTATTTCCAGCCGACTCCTATCCCTCCTGCACCGTTTTCGACCAACCCGCTTTATGGAGATCCGTCAGAGGCTGTAGTCGACGCCTGGGGCCTGGTTATCACACGCTCTTTCAATATGTTTGTTTATGGGGCGGGGTTGTACAGCTTTTTCCAGGTACATTCAAACCAAGTTGGCTCTGGGTGATGACTTGCAACTGACGCAAGTGCTCCAGACATATGGGCAAGGATGTGTCACCACGCGGAACTGCCAGAACTCGATGGTTCTGGTCGACCGCGAGTCCTCTGCCATATATATTTATCAGTTGACCACAACTGGAACGACAAATATGATCAGCTACCCTGGAAATGTGTCGATCGCCCTCCAAGCGGACAACATCGATGGGTATGCGAGCACGCTGACGCTCTGGGAGGCAGATGTGACGTATTTTTGCCTTCTTTGCACCCTTGCTGATTTTGCCCAAGGGCACTGGCGCTCCCGGCAACGGTTCGGGCGGCGGCGGCGGCGGAGTCTTTGGAAATTGGAACTTCATACCTTGGAGTGCGCCATCGTGTCTTGTTGTCGGCGCTTGTTGCAACTGATTATCCAGATCCCAACCCAATTCCGCCGGCAAATGCTGTCTCGGAGACCTTTGCCGTCGCCGGTGGCCCGACCACCGTCATCCCGATTCCCAGTCAGCCCACAATCATCAGTGTCGGCGGCCAAATCATCTTCCTGGAGCCAGGCGGAACACCCGCTACCGCATTGCTTCCCTCCACGCTTACAGAGGTTAACGGCGTTACGCCTACGTGGAGCTTCCAGATCATGCCGCCACCCACTGGCCCCATCACGTTCACTGCCCCAACTTCGGGCAGCGCAACCTTCACAACGGTTGTCCAGCCGCCCGGAACCGGGGCAGTTCAGACGGTAACTGGCCCAGGGGGTACCAAGTGGTCGATATCTGGCGCCCCCACGGGCCCTGTGGTCCTCGGGACCTTGCCGACCTCCATCGGTATTTCCGGCGGAATCACGCCGACGCCGATCATGCCCATCGGGTGGCTCGGCCCGTGGACTGATCCGGTCTTTCCTTTCGTAAGCCACGTCATGACACGTCACCATGCCGCTCATGGTCTCTTGCTTAGACTGTGACCACGGGGCAACCACCTCAGTTGAACACGGATATTCCATGGAGTAGCTGCCCTGTTGTTTTCTCTCGCGTCTCGTTTCTCATCTCTGCGCAGATCCGAATCCGTTCCCACCGCCTGGCGCTAAGACGGAGACCTTTGTTTGTTCAGGGACGACGACGAGCTTCCCAATACCGACTGCCACGACCACGGTTTTTGCTGGAGGGGCGACTATCACGTTGAATAGGTCCGTTTCAACCCGTGTTCCGGCATTCTCGTAGTCTAACCGTTTAATGTGTGCAGTGGAGGCACGCCTGTTGGTGGTCCTTTGGTCACTCAATGCTCCGAAGTCGGCGGTATCTTCCCAACCTGGTGTACGCCTGCTTTATCGCACAACATAAGTTTGGCTCTGACTGTGACGTCGATGTAGCATTGGATATCATCCCTCCACCAGGCGCTGCGACCATCACATTCACCGGTCCACTCACGTCAACGCCGACGTACTTCAGCATTGTACCCGTGCCCCCGAAGTCGGACTCGCCCAAACCAACAGTGACAGGGCCACCACACGACCACAACCGGTGTAACGATCTGAACATCTGGCAGCTACTCTTCGGCGGCTTCATCGACCCGTGCCTGCCCATCGACGTCGGCATCATCAACGGCATCACACCGGTGCGCAGATATTGCGTCCCTTTCCCTCCAGCCTGACTCTCTCAGGTCCCGATTCCGCCCCCCGGCTGGAAGGGTCCGTGGACCAATCCTATTCCACGTCCGACACCGCCTCCACCGGGCGGCGGCGGCGACGACCAGAACACGCAGTCTGTGAGTCAGTCCAGCGCGAGCCAATCGTCGTCGTCCTCGACAGCGTGCGCGACCCGCCCGGCGGATCTAACATTGCCAGACGACCCGAATAACGCCGACTGGGATGGGCAGGGCACGGACCCCGACCGACGCCGGAAACGCAGTGCGCCATCTTGATCACCTCTACATACCAACACCCACTCACGCTGATATAGAAAATGCAGGCCGTTCTCAAGCTCAGTCGACGCAAGAGCGGTATGTTACGCAGGGGTCGCCTGCTGCGAGGCTCGCAGCGTGGAGCAAGACGATGTTAAGCAAAACAGCGGAACCGCTGCGGCTTGTGTGGAACTGGCGTCGGCAGGCGGCACCAGTCACGGTATCGCTCCCACCGCAGCTGACGTCTCCGCGTCTGCCTTCTGCGATCACGGCACTTGATTTATCTAAGCGGCCCGCAAACGGCACACACCAGCTCTTCCGCCGAAACCGACGTGGGCCCCATCCCGTCTTTTGAAGTCGAGACATTGACCCGTTTCAACAGGCGTAAACATCCCACGCTGCCCGGGCGTGATGGTGACCAACACGCAAAACGTTCTTCTGGGCGCTGCCGACTACGTCGTGCTTGACCCGGCGAATGGAGTCACTGGCACCACGCTGATCGGCCGACCAGTAGGTGGGAAGCCTGTCGGAGAAGTGAATCGTGCGTAGTATGTTGAGCACCAGCCACCCACTGCTGACACTGTTCCCCAGAGGAGCACGTTTTCGAGTGCGTCTTGCTGCCCGTATATGCACTGGCGGATTGGGGTCTGATTCTTGATTTAGACTGGGATACATCGGACAGTGGGTTGAGTCGGCCCCAATGCGGGCTGGTGACTGTAACTGGTCAGCTGCGAAAGAAAACCGATTCCGGCCTGGGCTTGCTGATGCGCATCCAGGGTTTCGCATAATCTAATTGACTACGTGCGAACGGATGGCAGCACGATGGGTCTTGCGATTGTCCAAGCTATCGACCAGGTGAGCACGGGCAGGACATTATTATCTTTGTAAGAGCCACTGGCATTGCTAAAACCACCATCAGGGCCCGAATATGGTGTAGGTCATTTCACCTGGTTTCGCGTGAATCTGTGATACTATATTTTCTATTTAGCTGGGTTGATAAACCTTTGAATCAAGGTTCGTTGGCCAATCGCCTTATTTTCTTGTGTTTAAACTTCTTTGCAGCCAAATCAAATGTAGTGAATCAGAACGCGAATACAGCGCAGAATCCTCCGATGCGGGCGGCCATGGATACCATTGCCGGCTCTGCAAGTTTCAGAGATGCCTCTGATACAATTTATCGAATAGAGTAAGTCCAGGCACAACCACATAAGATAACTACTTAACTCTTGCAGGTTTTTCCTGCGAAACTTGGCCGCCACTGGACAATGTGAGGCCCCACTGTCATTATCGATTGCGATGCCCATGCCCATTCTTTAGACTTCGCTGGCACGACACAGATTTTCCAGGACACTGCGCTGCGTGTGCAGAACCTACTCTCAGAAATTACCCCAACCGATGTCCTGGCCGACGATGCGAGCCTGCCGCTCATGTTCAACACGTGGCTGACCAACCTGATCAACACGTATCCCGCGGGCTGCACGTCGCGGGGCCAGAATGCGTGGACGTATTATCGAAACGCAATGGGGACACTGGCGACGAGGCTGGGCGTGCCCGTCCCCGCGTGCTTCCCGCTCTATTCGGCCAATGTGGTGCGTTGCTACTCCGGATCTCCCGCGCGCAGGGCACTCATTCGTTTCCGCATAGTACAACCCCTCCACGTTTAGTGCCCGCGTGCGTCCGGTTCATCCTTTTCTTCTTGTCTCGTTAACTGTGCTTAGTTGCTGATTCCCACCGCGCCGACGTCTCCTCGGTGCAATGTTCCGGGAACCGACGGAGTGCTAACCTACACGGAAGTCGCGCCGGTCGGGGTGTCTCCAGCCGTCGGTATCCTCGAATACGGCACCAACAACAACGAGGTCCAAATCATGGGATCTGGAAACACGGTCCGTTCAAGTTCAATGACATTCTATACTTGTCGCTCCCACTCACCCTTCGCAGAACCGCTATGGCGTAGGCTCCGGCGCGTCGCGCAGCGGCCACCACCTGCAGGGCCGGGCGCTGAGTGCATTCAGCGCGACGGACTGCCCTAACACGTTTCTGTTCGACGACGTCGCGGCGGGGACGGCCGGGTACGCGTCGGCCGAACTGGCGTTCACGTGCGGCAACGGGCTCGGCCCACAGACCGTCGACGTCACGTTCGTGATGGGCGGCCGGCCCCTGCCGGCGTGCATCCTCGTGCGCCGCGACGGCACTGCGCCGTGGAAAGTGCTGTGCAGCCCCACGGCCCAGGAGACGAACAACTGCGCGGGCACCTTCATCCTCTCCGGGGCGCCGGGCCTCCGCCGCGCGCTGGATCCGCTCAGCAAAGCTATCTCAGAGCTCAGTTTCTCAGTTTCCGGCGGACTCTAAAGCGATTCGGTCATTTATTGAGTACTCTGTATCGTCCTAATTATATTTGAGTCTTTTGCTCCTTCCGGAGTAGGTTGGGCCTTCTGAGTAGTGCTCTGCCGGGCCGGGCTTGGAGCCCGAATCTCGGCCCAGCCCCCGTCGGGCAGCCCGATCCCGGCCCGGAAATACCAGAGCAAGGGACTGCGGCCCCTCCGGCCGGGGAACGTCGGAGCCTGGCATATGCCGTGAATGGGACGGGATCTCCCAGTCGGCCGCCGGCACCAGTCCGCAGAAACCGGCCTGCGTGCCCGAAGCGTGGTGCCTGCTGTCCGGCCCTGTTGGCAACCTCTGAGGCTCTGCCCTGGCGCAGAAGACGCCGAGTGGCTGGCGCCGATTCGACGCGTCTGTCGTTGACTACTAGTACCCGAATAACGCCGACTGTGGCACGCAACTGGGGCAGGGCACGCCGGGACGGAGACCGACGCCGGAAACGCGGTGCGTCATCTTGCTCACCTCTACATCCACACGCCCCACCACTTGTTGAAGTAAGCGGGTTGGCGAACCCGAGTCATCGCCGAGAGATGACGTCAGCGGCTGCGCCATCACCGACGCTCGGCGCGTCGGGAATGTTCTCCCACTTTCTATTGACTCAGAATACAGAATATACTAGAATAAAGAGAGTAGTATAAATACTTGGTAGTCCTACTCTAATAAACATCGAATATTTTGTCTAGTTTCTTCAACAGGTTATGGGCCCCGGCACCTCACATTGGCCAAGCACCCCACAGTAGCGACACCACTTATTATCCCCTGCACCACCCTCCTCCGACACACAGCGACCACGCGATGGGACGGCTCCGCGGAGCAGCCTTTTGGGATGTGATCCCTCTACGGCAATGGGCTGGCAGAGCAGCGCGGGAAAGAGCGGCGAAGGGAACGACACGTACCGGACACTCGATCACGGATGGCAGATGGCTCAGCATCGCCAGCACACGGACAGATGAGCATGGTCAGCACAGATCGGTCATCGACACAGCTTCGGGCTCACGGCGCGCCGGAGCGGCATGGACTTGGCTTGGGATGGGTTACCGCCATGGGATCGCCAATGGGCTGGATCAGTTGGTTGGGACCTGGAATGGAATGGAACAGAGTCACGAAAGGGATCGCCACGATGGGCTGGATCACAGTCGGACTCGGAATTGGATGGACTTGAACTGGAACCGGGCCGGAGGCTACCGACACGACATGGGAATGTACTCGCGGACACGGACATGGACACCGAGGGCTTATGGGCCGCGGCAACGGATTTGGTATGGGCACGGCATGGACTCCGGGTTGACGCTGGCGCCGAGGGCGGCCAGGAAGGACCATAGGGACGGCCAAGCAGCAAACAGCACATGGGCAACAGACACTGGGATTTACAGTCAGCATCAGAGACTGTATGGAGAAAGGGGGAGTCTACAACACCACAAGAAAGCCTCTAACCCAGGCGAGGTATTCCACTGCGCACCATGCTTGCGAAAGCACGGCTCGACTCGTGTTCGAGGGGGAGTGTTGAAGTAAGCGGGTTGGCGAACCCGAGTCATCGCCGAGAGATGACGTCAGCGGCTGCGCCATCACCGGCGCTCGGCGGCGTCGGGAATGTTCTCCCACTTTCTATTGACTCAGAATACAGAATATACTAGAATAAAGAGAGTAGTATAAATACTTGGTAGTCCTACTCTAATAAACATCGAATATTTTGTCTGGTTTCTTCAACACCACTGCCTTGGAGGCTTATAGGCTATAGCTTGCCAGGGGACTCGGAGCAGCAACTTAAAGTAAGTGTCTCAGTATATGACATTGTCTTGGCATTGTATATGAAGAAACGGTCACTAGCATATATATGAAGAAACAATTTGGAAGGATTAGTCCAGTGACTCATTACGTCCAAGCTCACGTCACCTGAAACCCGAGGCCGGTGATCGGCTGCGTCAGCATCGGCACGCGGTACGTGTCGAGGAGGTAGTCCAGCGCGCAGTTGAGCGCCTCGGCCGCAGTTGTGCTGCACAGCAGCTTCCACTCGGGCGGGAGCGTCGGGTCGCTCGGCGCCGCCGTCAAGATGCACTCCGGCAGCGCGCGGCCGTCCATCACCATCGTGATCACGGCGTCCTGCGGCCCGAGGCCATTGTTGCAGCTGAACGCGATCCCAGCGGTGGCGTAGTCGGCACCCGCGTGTGCGGGGGAGGTCGTCGAAGAAGAACGAGTTGGGGCACGACGCGCCGTAGTCGGGGCTCTTACTCAGGTCGAGACCCTGGATGTGCGTGCCGCTGATAGACGGCCCGGAGCCGATCGCATAGCGGGCCTGCCGAGATCAGGGATTTTAGCTCAAGTCACAGATATAAAAACACCACAAACAGTGTTCCCGGAGCCCATTGTCCTCAGATTGCCATATGCATCGAGCTCACCGACACCATTGGCAGAGTTGTATATCAGGGTCCCGAGGGTCCCGGGTACATTGCACTGCGGCGAAGTTGGCGCATCCGGAATAAGCAGCTGTGTATGGGATCAGGACAATTGTTAGCGCTGATGCTTGTGGTAAGTGAATACCTGTGGCGGAAATGTTGAGGGATTATACTATCATTGATTTCTGTTAGTTGCGACTGTTCACACATAATGGATATCCTGAAAACCCACCACGTTCACATTATAGAGTGGATAGCAGGCAGGCACAGGTACCCCAAGTCGATTTGACAAGCTCTGCATTTTCATCCGGTAATAATCCCAGGCATTGTCGCCGCGGGATGTGCATCCTGCGGGGTATGTGTTGACCAGGTTCCGGAGCCAGGTGTTGAACATAAGTGGCAGGCTTGCATCATTGGAAAGAATCTCTGTAGGTGTAATCTCTGCTAGCACATTCTGAACCCTCTCTGCTGTCATCTTGAAAATTTGACTAGTTCCACCAAAGTCTAGAAAATCAAATTAACCTTGGAATTAAATATAGAGAAGAACTTGAACATACATTGTCCGACTGCTGCCAGGTTGCGGAGAAAGAACCTGAAAATATTAATATCACTGCACTAACATCAAGTTGAAATTCCCACTCCATCTTATAAATTGCATCTGAGGCTTCAAGAAAGCTGTCAGGGGAACCCCCGCTTCGGCCTCCTTCGGACCCTCCGAACGCATCCGAGGCGCATCCGACCGGCGCCCCCTCGGACGCTCCGACCCACCCCGACCATCGTCCACGGCCTCCTTCGCCCGCACAATCACCGATCCGTCAAGACCCTCCCAACGATCACCTTGGGACAGAGCCTGCGACGCCGCTCAGGCCTTCTGCGCTCTACGTCGGCAGTTACGGACGACCAGTATATAGTTGGCGCCCTAGCAGGCGGACCCTTAGAGTTTCTTCTCTTTGGATCCTCCCCTGCTAGGTCGGTCCCTCCGTGTATTTCCCGTAGCTTTTATTCACGCTTTGGATCCTCCCCTGCTAGGCTTTCGTCGGAGTCTCCAGGGTTGCCCTTACAGCAGAAGAAACTCTCTACGGGATTAACCGGTCAAGATTGCCAGGTTTGGCGCTGACTCAGGCTCGGAGTACGAGTCCGTACCCCCCTCGTCACCGCCCCTGCCACTTGACCCCTCCTCCTCTGCTCTTGTCGTCTTTACGCCCGCTATGTCCACCGGAGCTGCTCCGGACGCTGACGCGCGCATGGACGCACTTGAGGCGAAACTAGACAACCTCACCAATCTCCTCACCCACCTTGCTTCCCAGGCTTCCGCTGCCGCACCACCTCCGGCAGCTCCCGAACCGCCTTCGGCATCTCCGAATGCCCCCGACGCGGATGCGTTATTTGGTGACATTACTGTCGCCTCAAAACTGGTCTTACGACCAAACCCCCCGTTTGCGTTTAACGGAGATCGCAAACGCGGCCGCGCTTTCCTATACGCGGTCAAAACCTACGCTCGGCTTGCCCCGGAGGCCTTCGTAGTTAACGGAGAGCCGAGCGAAGAAAAGGCCGTCCACTACGCCATGTCCTATATGGCGGAGGGACCTGCTCAGCAATGGGCAGAGCGTCATGGGAGCAAAAACCCCTTCCCCTTCCCTTGGTGGAGCCAGTTCCTCTCCGAGTTTCGCCTTCGGTTCGTCGAGGAGAACGAACAGGACCTCGCGCTCGCTAAGTTGGAAAGCGCGGGTTATCACATGGGAACGCGGGATGTCTACGGATATACCGACGACTTCGAGGACTTGATGGACCTCGCTGGCTTCGAAGACGCGTTGGTTAAGGTAACCAAGTACCGCCACGGACTTGACCCCTTGATCAACAACGGCATCACCTCTTCGAACGACCCCCCAGACCTCCGTGACTATCTAGGCTGGCGCACTCGGGCTTTCCGACAATATGAAGCCCTGGTGCGAGCGAAGCTCATTAAGGGAACGGCTACCCCGCGGACCGCTTCGGGAGCTCCGCGCGGCGCCTTCCCCATCACTCGTTCGGCAACTCCGTTCCCCATCCGCCCGGTGGCCGCACCTGCGCCACCCGCGGCCCGCGCCCCCGTCCCGGTACCTCCGGCTCCCGTCCCTATGGAGTTGGATCGTACTAGGGCTCGGGGCGCCCCTCGTCGAGCCTGCTTCAGATGCGGCGACCCCAATCACTTGGCTCGGGACTGTCCGCTCCCCGCCGATGTTCGCCATATGGACATCCTCGACGAGGTGATCCAGCAACTTGGCGATGAGATGCTAGGAGAGCTACTTGCGCGGTTGTCCGACACCGCGGCCTTAGCAGAAGCGCATTCGGAGGCTCCGGCAGAGGATTTTGTCCCCCGCGACGAGTGACTGGTGTGCCCTCGTTCGCGTCCATAAATCGTTTCACTTGTTTGTATGATGAATCAACTCCCTTGCCTTACAACGAGCCTGAAACGAAAGACGCACCCCCTGCCCCCTCCGAAGCCCCCGTTCGGATACGCCGACTTGCCTGGGAGAAAAAGCTACCTGGCAGTTATACCATCTCTGCCGCTCCTGGCGTTAACTCGCTGCACCTCCC